CAAACTAATGCGTTTTGAAATCCTTGAACATTGCGCTACAAAGTGCACTAGTCTTTTTAGCCCAAATCGTTAAAAAAATTGTCATCCTTTTGTCCGCTTTTTTGGGATTCTAGCCCACTGTGGGGCGCTGCCGAGCGCGGTAGTCGCAACCGCAACCGCGCAGTGTGATCGGCTCAACCGCCACCCGCACCCTCACCCGCACCCGTCAACCGCCCCGTGAACCGCCAGTGTGATTCGGCCTTAAGTGGCGCACACTTTAAATGGCAAATTCTTATACCATCATAATTAGGGAACAATCTCAGATTTCGAATGGTTAAGAACAATTTACACTGATAAAAAGTCTTATTTATTGCAGTATTGCATATTACAAGGCGATATCTGTGTTGGAGATAACGGAAGCACCATTCTCTTGGGTCCAACAGACAAACACGGCCGCGACACCAACACAGATATATTTGAATTATTTAAATGACAAAATAAAATGACAATCATGTTTCAGATTCTGACTGACTAGTAAGTGCTTGAGTCGTCGTCAGAAGAGCTTGAGCTGGAGCTTGAGGATGGCTTCCCCTGTTGCCGTGATCCTCTGAGCTTCTTTTCTTGCGGTGCTTGGGGTAGCTTCACTGCCTTCGAATCTTCATCATCAGATTTCTCCTTTTCTTCTTGTTCTTCATAATCTGCAGTAAGTGCGGATCTGGAAGCAGAGAAAGAACAGAGAATCAGAATTGGCAGAACATGATATGACCGTTTTCATTATCAGAAGATGAGGTATTAAAATAAAATTACATTTCTTCCTTGAAGGGGCCGTCACCGCCAAAGGGTGGGCCTGTTTCGTCCCCAGTGCGGGCAAGCACTTCAGCAAGGGCCAGTTTGAGGGCGGTCTGCATTTTTAGAGTAGTCTCTTCGTCGCAGTCGAATTGGGTGAAGTGGGCCCACACCCGGTCCATGCTGACGACACGTAGTCCATCGGCGCACAGGTTGTACAGACGCCTCATTGCACCGATAGGGAGATCCCTTTCCAAATCCTCTGGATGCATCGTCCTCGTGTGGGCCTGCAGGATACCCGGTGAGTCGGATATGGAGTCGCAGTACGGACACCTCTTACAGTTTCTGGGCGCCTGTTTCGTTCCAGCGAGACACTGTCAGAAAAAAAAAGCTGGATCAGAATTTGAATTTCAGAATGTGACAAGTAAAAATACCAACACAAAATGAGATATCAACTTACCGGTACGCCCCAATGAACTTCAAGTGGTTTTGCCGGCCACCATGCCTTATCTTTCTCACTGAATTCTCTCTTAGGCGCCTGAAAATGAAATGAAAACACCTCAATAAGAGAAGTCTTTTCATTCATATTCTGACATCACACTATGCAGTATCTATCAAACGTACTTCGAATGAGAAGGTAGAAGATGTCTGGGGAGAGTTCTCAGAGGCCTTCTTCTTTAGAGAAACAATAAGTCGCCTCACATGTCCGGCCTGTGGATTTAAAAAGGAAAGAAAGTGTAAAGGCAGACCATTCCTGTTTCAAGTTCACTGGGTTTTTTTAAGTCTTAAGAATTTGAAATGATATTACCGTCTTTGTTGTCGCCAGCGTCAGAGCTTTAGGAACGTACGGGGTATGGCGCGGCTCTACCTACATGCTTCACCCGCGCGCATGATCTTGGCGGTGAGCCCCTGTTTGTTTTGATGCTCGCCCCCGCGGTCTTCACATTTTTCATAATCTGACTTACTGTAAGGTCAATCTCATCCGAAGTCTCTACCTCCTAAAACAAATTAAAAAGAAAGCATCCAGTCAGGCCATCAAATTCTGAATGAATTTGAAAAAAAGAGGTTAACCTCACATTCTGGAAATGCAAGCTTCATTCCCAAATTATGAATGAAAGTTGCTTACCTTAACCTCTGATCGCCTTTTCTTAGGCGTCTCTCCGTCAGAGCCTTCCTTATTGGCGTCCTCCAGTGCTCGCGAAGCCTTGGCTTCAAGAAATACTTGCTTTGCGTACACACTTGGGAACCTCTTCCCGTTTCCGATGCCATCGTCATCTACGCTGACGACCGGGCACTGAAACAAAGTAAGAGCGAAGGAGGAGACTTAGGTGACGCCGTTCAGATCAGACCCTTCTTGTGTGAAGAGAAGGGATAACACGCCCCTAAAGGGTACCTCTGTACGCTCAAGATATTTTTCTCACAAAATGCGCGACAAATTTTACGAAACCTGAAAAGTGCCAAGCTAACTCATAATCTGAGCGCACAAATCGACAGAAGTGCAGTGCACGCTGCAAACGGCGGTAGCTGGCCGCCACGGTTAACGCTTACTACGCCGCGACATTCAACCCCCAGGCACGGACTCCGCAGAAAACCACCCCAGGACCCGTCCCTCAGTCAATTCCACTTTACTTCAAGGCCCAAAATTCCAAGTGCTGATGAGACCTACCTCTCCTGTCGACTCGCCCTTCACTTCCTTTTCGCGGCTCCTCTTCCTCTTCTCTTTTTTCTTCTTCCTTTTCAGCACGCCCTTCTGCTTTGAAAAAGCTATCGAGCGGGCTTATGCAGACGACCTCGTGTGTGTCTGTGTGTCTGTGTGTCTGTCTGTTCCACTAGAAGGAGATGTGCTAGAGACTTGAAATTTTCAGGGTCTCTTAAGGTCCACTCCTAGACAACGAAACGCCTACGGCAAATCCTGGCAACCACCCCTAAGGGTGTGAATGGGGGTATCCAAGGTTCAAAAATTCACCCTAAAAGTATTTCTTCATTATTTTACCCTAAGGGGTAACCCGTCAAAGTAGAGTCCCTCGGACGAAAATTTCGTTCGTTTTGCTCTATCTCTCACCGTTTAGGCGCTAGAGGGTCTTTTTTGACGAAAATACGCTTAAAATTGCCGTAGCGAACAATCAATTGTAGAAAAAGGCCTGAAAACCGCAAAATAGAAAGTAAACTCTCCCCCTTCCCCCAAAAAACGTTTCCTAAGCAGAAGGGTGGGTTGTAGTCGCGGTGCTTCACCGTTACATCTTTTTCTCGAGTTAGTACTAGCGGTACACCAAACCATACTGCAAATTGTGATACCTGCAAGCCACTTTGCACACTTGTTTCTAACACCCAAATGTTCGATTTGACCCGTAGCACCTATCTGATTTTTGCTGGGGGGGTAGGTTTTTCGGGGGTAGTATGAGAAAACTACCCCCATAAGTCGACGCCACTAATATTGATCTACAGGCTTCATCAGGGAGTCGATCCCGACTAAATTGGACCCAAGGAACTCGAAAATGCAAGAAAAAAAATTCTCCGGCCAAAACTACTACTAATTTTGGTCACTTTATGAGAAATTTTCCCTAAATTAGTATATTTTGTAAATTATCAGTTCAGGTCATGCTGGGTATCGATTCTATGGTTTTGAGGGTGTACAAACCTCTAGGGATGGTTGAGATGTCGGTGGAATACTTTTTTCATGGCGCATGTAAAGTAGGGTGTAGTTAGGAGTCGTGATAAAATCACCCTCAAATTTCGATGACGACCACACCGAGCTACATGCGTTATGTGAGGGTGGATTTCGATTAAATCAGACCTGTGAAACTCGAAAATGCAACGGAAAAAACTCTCCAGCAAAAATCAGAGCTGATTTTGGGTCATTGGCTGAGCGATAAGCTAAGCCCATAACTCCACTGACCGGAAAAGTTGCATTCTGTTTGTTTGTCTGTTTGTCCGTCTGTCCGCACGATAACTCGAGAAAGAATTGAGGTAGCGACCTGGGATTTTCAGGGTCGTTTTGTATCATAAAAAGACAGATCGAGTTCGGAGATGAGCATTCTAGCTCAAAAATTGACTTTTAAAAAAATCAATAACCTCAGGTAACAAAATATTATTTTTTTTCAATTATTTTTTGATGGTCTCCTAATGGGTAACTCGTGAAAGTAGAGCCCCCTGGGCGAAAATTTCGTCCGTTTTGCTCTATCTTGTACCGTTTGGACGCTATGGCTCATTTCTTGGCGAAAACAACGTGAAAAAGACAAAATGGTCTATTAAATCGTAAAAAAAGGGCTTCATGTCACAGAATTGTAAAGGGAGTAATACTTAGACCACACGTTACGGGTCGAACCACACCCTCTTTTGGGCTTAAGGGTCCCTAGATTATCTACTATCACTAAAACGTTGATTTTTACATAACAATCTGACAAAGTTCGAT